AGAGCTGTCCAGAAAGGAATAACAGAATGTGAGACAGGCCGAAAGACTTGGAGTACTTGACTGAGTGAAGGTGAAGCCTCAGCTCCATCTCTGTGTACTAATCTCAGTCGCACTGCTGTTTTTGTCCAGACTGGAGCTAAAATTAGGGGTGCAGTTTTTTCCCGATTGTGTGGGTGTTTATAATTCTCAGATGGTTCTGGTGTGTGTATTTATTTTTCTTGTGTGTGTGTGTCTGAAGCTTTACCAGCATTATATAATATTTGGTGGTTTGTAAGCAGATGGTGCTGTGGAATCATAAACCCACACACAGTCATTGTGTTCTCAGCCTCTTGCACTGCTCTACCAGCATGATCATGAGTGGGCTGCATTTAGGGATTTTCAGAGTCTGCTCTCTGAAACACAGTAATATCAAAAATCATCAGCTCCAAAACTAATGACAGTTGTTAGTGTTTAGCTCAAAGGACCACTGTGCCTGAGTACAGCCTCACAGAATTCTTTTCAGTAATAATACACTGTAGTCTTTTAGAAATAATGTTTTACTTGTCTACAGTTTATCACTAGGTGCTTAGAAAGACAATCATTTTATTTGAAATGGATAAATAGCCTGACCTTTTCATTTTAATCCATGAGGAAATACAGACTAAAAACACACTGTTGCCTGTGAGTTTCCAGTGAATGGCTCTTTTCAGTATCTGTTATTCCTTGTGTGTTTGTTTGTGTGGTTTACAGGCGTGACTCCCGCTGAGCCCAGATGTGTAATATTACTGAATATGGTGCCATTCACAGCCACACAAACACCCTTATACACTCACAGATGAGAGGTTGTAGTGTGGAGGTATGCGACCACATTCTGCCCATTTCTCCTGCCGAGGTCCCCAAACCACTTCGGCTCTCCCCTTACACTCAGTCAGCAAATTCTGGCTTCAAGCACACTCAAAAAGAGTGCTGAGAAGTGAACCACAGACTGGATCAAGTTTAAAAGTTATGTGTCAGTTTCACAAAAAGGTTTTTACTCATGGTTTTTATTGCTAAATGCAGGGTTGGTCACAGGAAAAAAACTGTTAAAAAGCCTAAAGGACTTAATGTCATCAAAATTGCAGTAAACCTCACCAATCTTAAACAGCTTGAAATAACAGACAGACACTGTTTGACCCTGGACTGTTGTATGCTCATGTGGGCCTTGTGTGTGTAGAGGTTTGCCAAACACTGTCTGAAGTGTCAGCTTCATCCCTGGAAAGACAGAATCTGAACAGATTTTTTGCTCTGGCTCAGCACTTGTCAGCACAGATCTCGTTGGTGCTGACAACACTTTGGTATTAAGGTTAAACCAGGAGCAGCTGCAGTCATTGTCTAACCATGAATTCCCTGTGGTAAACAGAGGAATGTTGGGGTCAGCTGAGTGCTACTACTCTTCAGTCCCATAACATATATTTTACATGTACAATTTGTTGTTTTCAGTTCCCATATGCAGCCCCTCCACCTCAGGAACCTGTAAAGACGTTACGAAGCCTTATAAATATCCGAAAGGACACGCTGCGGCTTGTACGGTATGTACCTTTATCCACCCAAACATATACACAACCTCTGACTGCACCATTGTTGTCTAATTTTATGGCCACTGATGGAATGAGCCACAATGGTTAATTTAAGGATTAGTGTCAAATTATAGGTTTCCCCCCCATAATTCAAACTTTTACTTTAATAAGGCATGCTTACAAATATACAACACAAGTGGGGATATACAGTATAACTTTTAATTACAAGCCAAAAATAAAAGCAGGAAATGTCCCTTATTCCTGAAAAAGAAAAGAAAATCATCCTACATCAAAACCTAAGATCTGAAGAAATTCCCTTAATAGTTACTGACTTTAAATATGTTTATTACATGACTTCAAATATTAAATTAATCCACCTGTTTCAGGTCATTCTTGTGTGAATACTGAAGCATGAAGCTCATAGATTTAATTCCCCTTTTATAAATCCATTTTCCTCATGATTCATGGCAAATGGACCATGCTCAGATTTCTGTTCTCCCTTATTCTTCTCTCCCTAACATCTGCAGGTGTAGCGAGGACCTAAAGCTGCCGGGCGACGACGCGGCAGGGAAGACCCGAGCCTGCTACAATGTAGAATTCACCTTTGATGCTGACACACAGGTGGCCATCACCATCTACTACCAGGCCATAGAGGAGTTTCACAATGGAGTGCCAGTGTACGTGAAAACGTGTTTTCTGATAATCAAATAATACTAAATGATGATGTTGGTGCATGATGTTAAAATATTGGCTAAAATCCAGCAGTCGGTCGCTTGGGTCAGTATCTGTATTTTAAATTGTAGTGAAACATCAGTAGTTCACTGTACTCTAGCTGTTACACTCTGTGTTTCCGTTGGTCCTTAAAAAGTCTAAAATCCAATCATCAGAATTTTAGGCCGTACGAAGGTTTTAAATACGGGCTTAAAAATTAATCATGCTTTGATTAAGATGATTATTCTAATGCTAAATTAACATTACTTCTATAATGTCACATTAACTTAAACTATGCGATACAGTGTTTATGCCATCCATTACAATCATTCAGTCACAGCAAGCAGATGACTCAATTTTTAGCGCCAAGGCAAGTCATGGCCTCGTGTTTTGGATGCCGGATGCAAGCAAATGTTGCTTATCTTCCAGCTTAGATAGAATTAATATTGTTAACTAAGGCTCTCTGGTTTACTGCTCATCGCTAGGAACTGCCACATTTAAACAGAAAAGCAGAAATCAAAAGCCGCACTCTAATGAACAAATGAAGCATCCACTTCAAACTGAGCTATCATTTCCTGATACTTATCCACGTCATGTATTTTGTGCACTGGTTGATTGTATCAGTTTCTTCCTGCAGTTACCTGCCCCAGGACAGCTCTCTGCAGTCAGAGACCGTTCATTTCAAGAGGGGCGTTTGTCAGCAGTTCTGTCTGCCGTCACACACTGTCAATCTTAGCGAATGGGCTGACGATGAGGTAGGCCGGATATTGAAACACATGTCTGTCTGTATGAGGCTGTGCCGTGGTGTGAAACCAGATGCAAATCTGATGTGTTTCTCTGCTCCCTCCTTGTTTTCTCCTCAGCTGCTGTTTGATATGGACAAGGAGGTTTTCCCCATGGTGGTGCAGGCTGTGGTTGATGAGGGAGAAGGTGAGTTTCTGCCTGATTATCACATTAATGGACTGATGTGAAAGTAGAGCTGAAAAGACGTGCACTGTTTTTAATCTCTGCAGAACATTTGGGACACTCTCACATACTGCTGGCTACATTTGAAAAGGTAAGAAAGATGTTCAGAGTCAGAACCAGTGAGAAACTGTGGCAGGCACTACATGATTGCATGTATGATTTGTTCTCATACAGACGTTGCCAAGACTCTCAGATAGAGCTGAAATGATTAGTTGATTAATATATCAACAAAAAATGACTTGACAGCTTTTTTGCTAATTAATTAATTATTAAGAATTAATTCAAGAAGATAATGTACAACTGTTGCTTTCCTTGGCAGCACATGGATGGAAGCTACTGTGTGAAGCCCCTGAAGCAGAAACAAGTGGTGAATACACCTGCCTTTATTCTCTGTTTCCTTCCTTTCTCCTTTTGTGTAACTTTTTTTTTTATTTCTTTGAAAGACAAAGGTGCACCAAGAGCTTTATTTCCCACTTGAACATTACACCTGACCCATGAGACCTACTGCCTTTATTCTTATTCTTTTCGCAGGTGGATGGAGTGAGTTATCTACTACAGGAGATCTATGGGATAGAGAACAAATACAACAGCCAAGAATCAAAGGTAAATACCAGACAACATGACAGATTTTTCTATCTGCTCCTTGTTGAGTGCATCAAAAGTGCTGTGACTGTGTGGTGAAATAAACCGCATGTCTGTCTTTGTAGCCTGACTCAATGTAGCTTGAATTCTCATCCTTTTTAACCTTTAAATGTCCTTTTTTTGTCTCCAGGTTGCCAATGATGAGATCAGTGATAACAGTGCGGAGTGTGTGGTGTGTTTGTCGGACGTGCGAGACACACTCATCCTGCCATGCAGACATCTGTGTCTCTGCAACGCCTGTGCAGACACACTACGCTACCAGGCCAACTGCTGCCCCATCTGCAGACTGCGTGAGTTCCCATCAATGACAAACACTGATAAAGTGGTTTTTGTTGCCAAAATAAGACTGAGGAAAATTCTCTTCCAAGGACTCACAACACTATTAATTATGTATTCCTTTAAAATCTCTCTTGCATTACAATAGAAAAAGTACAGTGTTTCAGTCTCAAACTGACTCCTCATCAGAAATCAAATGAGACTCTGCAGTCTGGGCTTTAAAGGGAGCATTTGTTTGTCCACGGCAGGCAGAAGGTTTTAATCTCAGCACCTGGACAAGAAAGATGTGTGTGATTTCTGCACATTGAAGGAGATCCTTAGGTGCTCAGTTTGTTTTTAATTAATAAGAAGAACACACTGATGTTTTGAGCTGGTAAAATGGAAGAAAAATGGCACTGATGAAAACTGCACATTTGGTCTAATTCAAAATATGTATTTCAAGGCATTTCAGCACATAGTCACAAAATATGGGAAGAGGGCATGGAAATGAAAAGCAATGACCAACTGCAGCAGAGAAAGCAGGTTCTGAAATGTAACATCTGGGAAAAGACTTTATGAAATCTGTGGTATTGTGTAAATATTATTGTCAGTGCAGTTAGTATTAGATACAGTAAATAGGTATTATTTAAATCTCTTTTATCATCATCAGCATTCAGAGCTCTGCTGCAGATCCGAGCCATGAGGAAGAAACTCAGTCCTCTGTCACCCACCAGCTTTAACCCTGTCATCACTTCACAGACGTCAGACTCAGAGGAACACTCGGTGAGACAGAACTTATACACACAAAAAAAAAACTAAATCTGTGTAAAATAGTGGTCAATCTCAGCCCCAGTAAACTCACATCCTCATTGTATTCTTCTCATTTTCAGGCATCAGAGCACATACCTCCAGGCTACGAAGTCGTGTCTCTCTTGGAGGCGTTGAACGGACCCCTCAGCGCCTCCTCAGCGGCTCCTCTTCCTCTCCACTCTGGTCCCAGCCACGTCACTGGAGCACTGCCCCCGTACAGCAGCGAGCCGCACCCAGCGCCTGCCCGCTCCCTCTCCCCTCTAGACCACTCCAACTCCAGTCAGGGACTCAAACTCAAGAAGAGTGGTTCAAAGTGAGTCTTGTTTGGCCAAATCTGTCAATGAAAATTATTTTAATGCACCTTAAGGGTTTATTTATTTTCTGCCAAAATATGCTGATTTAATAAAATGGAGAAGATTGGTTTAGGCTTCATTTTTACCTGAATTTTAAGTTCCAACATCTAAAATTTGGACAGAGGAGTTTGCAGTAGTTTTACAGCCCTGTGTATTACCTGCAGGTACCTGCTGGTACCTAAAACCCATTCCATTTGTTTTATCTGAAGCTTATGTTGCTTATACAGGTCACTTTCCCAGAATTCCTCTGTGCTTCCTGAGGAGGAGGATGAGAAGTCTTGCAGTGAATCAGAGGCCTGTCGCCACAAACTTACGGTGGACCAGCAGGAGGTGTCACATATGTTCAGAGGCTGCTGACTTGTGCATTTGTCTGTGTTTTTGTGGGGGGGCGTCATGTGACGCCGGTCTGGTTGTTTTACAGTGTGGAGTGACTCCAGACAGCGAGAACCTGACTCTGTCCTCATCTGGAGCCATCGACCGCTCACCCTGTACAGGAACCCCCCTGTCCTCTACCATCACCTCCCCTGAAGGTATACACACTCACATTCATCTTTCTGTACTCGGGAGGACCCTCGCTGACATAATACGTCCCCTAACTCAAACCTTTACCACCATAGCTAAATGCCTACCCCCAACCCGAACACTTAACCTAATTCTAACCGTAACCTTAAAACTGCGTCACTCCTTTGAAGTACCGAGAACTGGCCAACATGTCCTCACGTCACAAAAATGTCCTCACTACGGCGGCAAACTGAAAAAACTGAAAACCGCAAAAATGCACATATACAATGATGTTAATTTAATTTCCCTAAAGCTAAAATCTATTTTTATTGTCACTTTGTTCTTGCTTCTAATCGTAGATGCTCCTTATTTATTTAAGGCTAAACATGATGGCAATTTAAAATGTCAGTATCATGTCTGAATAAGTGCCTTTGATTGTGTGTTAAAAGTCTGTCACGTTAATGTAAAGGCTAGTTCTTGTCCGAGTTGGACTTAGAAAGATCAGTCCGACCATAGGACTTGCCCAAAGTAGTCCAGTTTGTGTTGTTCTTACCGGTCTTCTGTTTTATCAGTGTGACTGTTTAAATCGCAGATAGACAAATGTGTATTGTAATAGTCATAAAATAAAGACCTTTAAGAAAATGTTACATTAATCTTCAGAAGCCTTTCACATAAGTCAACAGCTGTAGGCTTTTACAAGTCTCCTGTCACTGAGCTGTGACAGAATAACAAATGCAATAGAAAAAATATTTCAGTCTAGATGTAATAAACTGAAATGATGTTTTGACAATGAGCCCAGTGAGCTCAGTGCCCTGTTGATATCAGTAATCCTACTCAGAAGAAAGGAGGGGTGGAAATCTCACCTGGCAGGCAGAGAGAAACAATCCTCCGGCCCCTGTGCCCGACCATGATCTGTGTCTCCGTGTGTCTGCCAGACCCAGTGAGCAGCAGCCTGGCCCAGTCAGTGATGTCCATGGCCTCGTCCCACTCCCAGCACTCCCACATCAGCACTGACACCATGTCCTCCATGTCAGGGTCCTACCTGGCCGGGGCCAAAGGCGAGCCTCGGGGAGATGAGGTGGGAGACAATGTCGAGGGTGAAGAGAACCAGGACGCCCCCATGGAGAGCCGAGGATCATCACAGCAGGATGGGGTGAGGATGGAGAGAGGAGAGATTGGCTGCAACATGAATATGTCATTTTATCATTGGACAGTCTCAGTTTGTATCATTTAATTTCTTTTGATCAGGAGTTTTCCAAGGAGCCACAGGAACAAAACTACTCAGTGGCTGTAGAGGAGCAGGACTCAGAGGTGACTGAACAACACCGATGTTTGTTTGCATGATTAGTATCCATTTTATTAAGTTAATTAATTAAAAAAAAACAAACCTTTTTGTCTTTTCTTCAGGGAAACGATGTTACTGAAGATGACTGCTCCTCCAGGTCTAATGGCAAAGGTAACTATGGTGACCATCCCTCAAAAGAAATACAACTCTTCATACAAACTATATATCACAGATTAGTAGCTGACCTAATATATTGTTGCTGTCGGTGAATCTTTTGAATCATGGCTGTGTAATGGCAACCCTTTTAATATAAAGGGATGTTATGCCAAACATTGTCCTCTAGATGGGGCACTTCCTTTCAAAATGCATGAAATAATGGCTGAAACCACCACAACATGCAGCATCTGAAATGGAGTGAATGGCCTCTCATACTGTACGTGTGCACTAGAACCTTGTTGTACTGTGCAGCGAGGGCTGAACTCTCAAGATCAACTTAAATAAAATACTGAAATGAATTCCAGGTTTAAATGTATTCAATAGGGATGCTCCGATCAGATTGTTTGAAGTGATACAGTCATAATCTTTATATCAAAATACTGTTTATGTCCCACAGTGGTCTGGTTTTGTGGACACAAAGTTGGACTGCATGTAGTGAGAAATGGCTCCTAAAATCTGATTCCAACACTGTGGTTACACTGACATCAGTTACATCTAAATAATCCTGTTTTGGTTTAGAAATGGGTTTTAAAATTCCCTGTTGCTTGTATTTCCAGACAAAGACCTCATAACAACAAGACGTGTTACTTTTCAAAGGCTCCTCAGAATATGACGGAGAAATCAGTGTCTAAATTTTAGGACCGTATTGGTGTACGCTTCACAGCCCTCACTTTCTCACAACCCATTGTGTGCCAAGCAGCTGTTTATTGGAGTTGGGAAATAGTAGGATGAGCATTTCTTCTCTTCTGGTAGAGATTCATCAGCCATCACCTCCAGCTCCATCCCTGCACCATCAGAGCCCCTGAAGTGAAAAATCTGTTTGAGTGACATGTACTTTTTAGCTTGCTGATTCTATTTTACTCTGAGCGTTTCCTGACTGGTGAATTTAATGACTGGTAGTTAAATAATTTGTAACAAATGCTCCGATCGATCGGATCATCCTTACAGGAAATGAGCACACACTGGAGCTCTGTGTTGTTTAAATGAGGTTCAGCTGCACACCAAGCTTATTACTTACATTTGCATGATTTATGCACTTATAATTGTTTGTGTGTACAGTACAGTATGTGTGTGTATGCACTTTATCTGTTTGAAGTGAGTCATTTGTGCACACAAGGCTCTGCAATCTGTTTTTAATGTTTTAGCTGCTGCATCATGATGCTTCCTTGTGCTCCATCTGCACTGCTACTGAATGCTGTTAGTGTGTGTGTGTGTGTGTGTATGTGTATGTGTGTGTGTGTGTGAGAGAGAGAGAGAGAGAGAGAGAGAGAGAGATGGAGTGTAAAAGAAAGTCATGTGGCACATACAGAGTGTGAGTTAATGACCAGCAGCAAACACAGAAAGGTCGCTTTTATTTAGACACCAGTTTGAGACTTGGATGTGTAAAAGTAGGTTCTCTGTGGAATATATATGTGTGTGTGTGTGTGTGTGTGTGTGTGTGTGTGTGTGTGTGTGTGTTCTAACACCTTGGGGCCAGACTGACACAATCAGCGAGTACCTGTGAGTTACTAAATGACCTTTCAGTTCTTTAGGAGACAAGTGGACCCATGCACCCTGACAGACTGTTAATGTGTACACGCGCTGCAGGATGTATGTTTGCACGCATATGTGTGCACATCTGCACCAGCACTGCTAGACAGCTTTTGTGCGTTCCTTGTCTGTGTATCTGTGCTGAGCTGCCAGTCAATCATTTTTCCAGTTCCTCCTCATTTAGCATGCACACAGGTTTGCTGCAGGCATGAAGCACTCGCACATATATTAATTATGTCAGTGTTGATTACTTTGCAGTGCTGGAAAAGGCAGGAATATGTGACTCCATAGAGTTTCTGTTTTCTCTCTCATTTGGTAGCTTATCTAATTAAAGAGAAAACATAGACCAAAATCTGAGGATCATCTGCTCCAGTGTATCATTCTAAAGCATCAGTAAACACTGTGTGTGATAGTAAAGAAACTGAGAGTATGAGGACACAGTGGCTGCTTTAAAACAAAGCAGCATGTAATTTTATATGATACAAGTCAGGCACTTTTTATAAGTTACTAAAGATCATTAACATTTCTCAGTATATCAGAAGATATATATGTATGTTTTACATATTCATATAAGCACAAAGTGTGACTATATCTCACAGGAAGTGATCATGGTGGGCAATCAAAGCTAAAAGTTAATACATTATATTACTAAAATTTTGTGAAGTAATGCAAATTTGAAAAGATAAAAAAAAGAAACTGATTTAAACAGAAAACATTTAGTTAATTCATCCACCATCCACTTTCTGCTGCTTATCCAGCTCTTGGTCACGTTTAAAGGTAGTGTTAATGAAAAAAACCTGAGCAGTAATTTTACTCGGCCCGAGCAAAACCATTGGATGGGGATTTCATTATGCTGAAACCTGTAAGTAGTGGTCAGGCAGTGCACGTTGCAGTGTGCACTGTATTTTGGAGGAGTGGCTTTGGAGAGAAGTCAGAACGAAAGGGTGGGATCTCGTCAGTTGTCCATCTTCAAAGTCGTGTTTCCTCTTGCTGGTTTTTCCAGGAACGTTAGCTATACCTTTAATGATTAATTAATAGGATCACGTTGTTTGCAGAAGGAAGATGCGACATAAATAAATTAATGAACCTGGTAAATAATCTCAGGCCTTACACCCCTCTGGCTTTCCACCATATGTTCACACACCAATTGGTATCAAACAATAACATAAAAACTAAAAAAGTACAAGTTAAACTCCACAGGAAAAATGCAAATGCTACACAGAGACAACTAGAGAGCCTGACCTCACCCGTTTTTCTTCACTGTAAACTGCTTTATACATGTGTTTCTGTCTTTTTGCTTAAATCTTGAAAAATATTAGAGCACACGGTCGATTATTCTCTCGGCATTTACCCGCTGCTCATGCGTGGCCCTGGGTTACTCACCACTGGGTTTCTTAGAATCTATCAGGCTGCACCCAAATGAAGTCCACACACACAGTGATCACTTCTGGTAAAGACCGAGTGATTTTTGGTATCACTGAGCCAAAATCCCTTTAAGCTTCAAGATAATTTAGCCTTCACACTGTTCACAAGTAGAAATATTTTACCATTTATTACTTTATTAATGCCGATCCAGCATGGCCACCCTCACCCCTCCACCTCTGTCACCCTCCTCCCTCACCACACCTGTACTACTCCCCCCCACTCCCATGCTGTGCCTGGCTGCTGTTGTTTGACCTTTGCCCTCGCTTGCAGGTGGGCGGAGCAGGTGTCCAGAGTTGGCCAATAACAATCAGGGCGTCGCCCTCTGTGACACGCCCTCTTTGGGGTTGGATAATGAGCAGGCTCCCAACAGCCGATTCGCCGGTGAGTGGCAATCTCTCGAACATGAACCAGTGAGCTGAGCTGAGTACTGGGGGGATGAGGAGACCTGCAGGAGGACTGCAGGAGTTATTGATCAGAAAAGTTAAGGATTTCTTAGTGATCTTTAGTTTGCTATGCTAATAAGATAGAAAGAAACAAGATAAACAAATCCAGATTTAGCAGCAGCTCCTGACCAGAGAGGAGGTTTCATAGCATCTGTGTCCAACCTGAAGGTCTGGAGCCTTCCTTCTTCTCTTCATCCCTGCCCTGTGGTGTTGTGGTGCTTCCTTGCTTCTTCAGTACCAGTTAGCTGTGCTCTCTCTCCCTCTTCTCCCCTTTAGCTGAAGCCCTGTGTGTGTTGTGTGAATGCATCTTTTTGTGCGCCTGACGAGTGCTTTCTGCATGCTGTGTTTTCTGTTCTGTGAGAGTGTGGAAGAGAGAAAGATACTGGTCCATTCCAGCGTGGAAGTTCATGTTCAGCGTCTGCCAGCTCCGAGCCGCTTTGCCAAACATCTGCAGTTCATTGTTTCACCAATCCGTCCCCCCTCCTGTCCTCTGCTCATCCTCATCCCTGCTTCTTAGCACCTGTGGGATACTGTGATGAGAGATAATAATGTCAAGTTTGACCCTAATTTAATGCCTTTTTATGTTTAGGTTATGTAACCCTCTGGAGTGCAGGTTCATTTTGGCTTAGTTTTGCAAACTTTCTATGTAGCGATTTCTGACTTTGTTTTCCCACCTTTTAAAAGGCTCTTACCTTGCATACATGATATACTTTGTTCATCACAAACTCAGCTATGTTTGATTTGCCATTTTGTCAATTTAACAAATTATTAAACTCAAATACATTAAATATAATTAATTCATGTTTAGTTAATTGCTCAGGAGAGGATTATGGAACAGTTTAAGGTTGTAAAAAATCAACTGTCACTGTTTAAACAGTTAGAAATTAACCCAGTTCTTTTGTTGGAAGTGCGAGAAGTGAAGACAGGAGAGGACTGTTTAAAATCAACAGAAGGTTTACTGGAAGTCTGAGCACAGGTGAAGTCTTACAGCGCTGGATTCAGAGAGACAGAGCTCCCGCAGGAAAACCGTCGTCTGAACCTCAAGTTATGTTTTTACATTACATTTATATTCTTGGGCTAGGTCTGCCCCAGACAACGGTACAACATTTCATGTATCATGATCCTATTGGTCATTTAGCGTGAGTAGGTCAGCCCCTGCCTGCGCCCGCCTGCTGAAATGTGATCTATAAACCAGGTGTGTGTGTGTTGTGATGTGATTTTCCAGGCGGCAACTGAACAATGGGTCATCTGCGCTGCAGACCCCCCTATCTGTGTAATCCTATTACAGGACAAAGCAGGACCTCATGAATACAGACACTATGTCTACACAGAAGTTAAAGTAGTCAGTTTCTACTTCAGTATCACTTGACTCTCATCAGTACAACTGGAAGATATATATGCAAGGAAAATAAATGTGTTAAAGTAACCAAAGCTCAGTAGTTCTGGACAATCATCAATACAGTTTTAACATATTTAAGCCAGGAGAGTTAAGGTATGAAAAATAACTAAAAGACAATGAAGAACTAAAAAGTAACTAAAGGGAACTAAAGCTATGAAAAGTAGCTAAAGCTTATAAAGTAACTAGAGCTTATAAGAATCAATTCTTACAAAACCCACAAACACATTAAAAACATGTAAGAAATAAAACTATAAATTGGTGTATTTACATGTACATTGGCTTTATTCCAGCTTTATTTATGTTTCTTCTTCATTGAATGTCTATATATCACCAAATATTCTGTGGTCTGCAGACATGGATGAGATAGTGTGTGAAAGTCCCACATCAGCGCTTTCTCCACTTGTCTTTACATGTCACTTAAAGTCATGTTACTGTAAATAAAACATGGTCATTGTAGGAATTCTCTAGTGAACAGGCAGACTCCCAAGGGTAATTTGGATTATAAGTAGTTAAGTATAAGTAATTTTGGCTTTAAATTTGCTTTACTTCCTTTAGCTCTGCTTTATTCTTGACACCTTCACCCTCCTCCCCTTTTAAACCCTGATTTCATTTCATTCCATTGAACTTACATCACTTCTTTGGTGTTTTACAGTGAATGTTGTGACATGTTTTCTCTTTGTGTCGTAAAAGTATTCTTTTATCTCTCTGTTCTCTCCTTTCCCCGTCATTCTTCACATATTCTGTCATCTTTTCCGGGGCATTTTCCTTCTTTCTCTCTTTTTTTCTCTTGATGTCCTCTGACGCTTTTCCTTCTTTCGCCTTCTTTTGGATGGACAGATGAGGAGTCGTGCCCAGTGCACATTGAGGACTAGGTATGATGTTATGACTGGATGATGGATCAGACACCAGGGTCAGAAGCTGTAGTTGGCTTTGCCCTTTATATTTATTCATCATAACAATCACACGTCTTTGTTAATAACTCTTTTTAGATTCATTTAGTTTAGCTTTACATTGCACATTCTTAAATAAATGTAGCGGTTTAATAAGAAAGACAACTACACAACTTAGGAAAGTATTTTGTAAACTATGGTTTAATAAGAAAGACAACTACTTACAACAACTTAGGAAAGTATTTTGTAAACTACACATAGAGGAACATGTTCTTTGCAATGAGACTAGTCAAGCAGACTAAGCTGTAGATAATCCTTTTCATCAAGACACTGTTTACATACTGATCAATGTTTTGTCCCCAGTGTGTCCTGGTTGCTGGTCTGTAGTCTGCAGGTCCAAACTAGACTGCAGGATGAGTCATCAAAAATATTTAATATTTTATAGGATGAGGAGAGAGAGGGGGCGCTTGGATATAAACATATTCACAAAAGCTTTTTGTGGCACATATTTGACATTTACCAGGGACATGGGATAAGTGGTGTGAGTGGGTGCAAATTAAAAAAGCACCATCATGTTTTTTACTTTAAGAGCTAAACATGAGGGCAAAAGTACAATTATAGTACAACCATGTCAAGGTTAGAGAAATGCCAGGATCAGACTACATTCACACTGTGTTCTCAAGAGGACGTTTCTTCTCTATGACAATCTAACCTCAACGCCATCTTCTCTCTCTCTGTCTTCTTCTTCCCTTCAGGTTTGATGTACCACGTGGGCTACAGGCCTGTTTTGGAGCCCCTGCCCCACTACACCTCCACTAGCAATATTAACCTGGAGGGGCCAGGGGCAGAGAACAGGGACGGCCAAAGTCCTAAACATCCCCGCCGTGGACCGCTCATTGTGTAACACATTCACACAAACACACACAAACATTTCTGTCCAGATTCGGCTCTTCTTACCCTGCCATAGTGCTGAATCGCTGGATACTGTGTCCTCGCTGAACAGGGAAACTTTGCCCCCACCTTTCTAAACATTTCCTGGATTATTTGTTGATGCTGCGCTGAAACTCTTCTTGAGTGGAAAGTGGAGAAAAAAGGAGTAAACAGTATCACTTCCGTCTGTGCACTTTTATCTCACAGGAGTTTCCTTTATTGTTATTAATTTTTTTGTCTGTGACCTGATTTGTTGTGGGAATGATTAGCCTACTGCTGCGTTATTATTTATTACCTGTAGATCTGACTAATGAGAGCTGTGTGTTGTGACACTTTCTCTAGATAAGTACATGCTGCTCCTTACCTTTGACTTCCTTTCCTGTCCTCTATCAGCAGCCAAACAGTCAGGGGTTACTGTGATCGGCAATCGGATTAATCTTTAATGTACTTCCTCTTACAAGCTGTGTGTTTAATGAGTGGTTGGACACTTTGTGAAAGTCAGCTCACCGCACTACTTTACTGTACCTTGCCGAACTGAAACGTGCTGACTCGTCTCCTCAGATCAGGGAGCTCCCATCTCGACTTCGCATGCAGTTTTCCTCTCATTCTCGTCATGATTTTCAAAAAAGCTCTGCTGAATTTCAATCCAGAAATGGTCCAACTTGTTGTAAAGTGGTGAACGAGCTGAGAGGCGGTGGCCAAAATGCACAGAAATGGACTGATTTTAAAAAAAATAGGCACGTGACAGAATGTACTCTGTGGATCTCTAAGAAGGGGAATGTACTTGACATTTAATTATCACCTAAATTGGAAGTCATTATGATCTGCAGCCTAAACTGGGTCTCTAAATACACAGCTACCATGTCATCCTGTCTCTCTGCAGCTCTGTTTTAGCATGTCAGTATTATCATAGTGGAACCGGATATCAGCAAGTACCACCAAGCAATAAAGATGCCAAAACTGCATCTCCGCCTTTTCTGCTGCAGGACGACGCTAACTTGCAGTCCAGACCATGACAAAACTGTTTACACTGGCCTGTTACAGTCACATTCAAACATTTCAGTGTGTATTTTTTATTTTAATTTTGCCACTGTAAAATGATTTACTGTGAAAACAACTTCTTGCAGTGAATTTGAAAACCTAAACATGATATTTAGGCCACACTATGGTTAATTGGCATTTTGTTCATCGATGAGCTCTTTTCTCTTTGTTTGTGAAGCTTTTAGTTATTTTGGTTTTGTGTTATTTTAATCTATAGCTCACCTGCTGTTGCTGTTCTCTGTGTTTTAATTTGTTGCAAAACACTGTTGTTTCCTAGAATGTGGATGAAAATATGTGAACAATTTATAAAGGTTTACACAACGCACATGCGTGCTCACATAACAAATAACTGAAAAGGGACACTATCAACATTTAATGCACTATTAGCTGTTTCCTAGACAACACAAGTTGCGGTGCATGAGGCCCTAGTAGAGCGAGCATGTTAGTCTAGGTCAGCCTGCATCCTCCTGTAAAATACTTGATGATGGACCATTGCACACTTGTAAAGGGGCAGCATATCCCTCTGTACTTACATAATTGGTTGCTGTTGAGGTGAAAAATACCGCTCTACTATATCCAAGCTGTAAACAGTCGTGATCACTTACCAAATGTGTACGTGAAGCCGTTCTCTGGCACCAGTCACAGTATAATATCAAAGGCACGAATCCCGAATCTGCAAGACCCCACTTTTTCTGGTTAAAAATGTCAAAGACGACATCAAATGGACAATAAAGTGTTTGCAACTAAATGGCAACTGTGTGATTTGCTGTTGATTTAAGATTCATTCATCAGCACCGGGTTGCGCTTTGGTTCAGAACATGCATTGCTGCTTCATTCTGTTTCTTGACAAGGTCACCTTCCCTGAACCTCCCCTCAGAGATGTATACAGTCGCTTTCCAAATTCTGTTTTGTAGTTGTCCCACAAAACAGCTCAATTTCTACATTTGTTGCCAGTAATAAATGACTCCTCAGGGCTTGACCTGTTCTCATAAAACAATCATTAGATGCTCCCTACCCAACTTCTAATTGTTCATAAATGACACATCTATTAAAATATAAAAACATGTTATTAATTAGACTGTCATCAGTGAAGTGATTTATTGTACAAGGAAAACTTTTTGCATAAATAATAAATGACCTTTACTGTTGCCTGCTGTGAGAATGGCTGGGGATGACAGTGAGTAGGGCTTCAATGTGCAGTGTTCATAATGTCACTGCTACTTTGTTTGAGAGATCAAGTTGCACTCTAATTGGATTTTTTTTTGTGTGCTGCTCTGCATGCTGTAGTGAATTTCTGTTTTGTAACTTTGTGTATTAATGTACAACAAAGTTAACCACCCACTATGCTTTGTCTCCGCTGTCAAAAAAGTTTTAGCATCCTGTAAATTCACAGTATCTCCCCTTTCTAATAGAGAAATCCTCTCCACCTGCCTTTCCTTTAGCTTTAAAATTTGTTACCTTCTCTCAAAAGTCAAACCAAGGCCTGAGACATATTGTATATACCTGCCACTGTGAAGCAATTAGAGTGTGAATTCATGCTCTCCACTGAGGGAGGGGGCTCTTTTCAGCAGTGAGAGGGATTGTTCATACTGCCCAGCCCTCCTCAGCTCAGAGCACAGAGTGGGTCTGAGCTTACAGCACAGACACACACTCGGCTGCAGATATGATCCCTGTTGTTTTCATCGTCCTGATCCTCCTCACAGGTAGGACTTTGTGTTGTATGAGGATGTCTGGGTGTGTGTGAACCTCTGAACAGTGTCTAATCATGTCTGCTTATTAGATGATTGTATATGGCTTTTTAATACCAAATGAGGGGTGTAAAGGGTTACCCTGTTTCCATATTTGACTGTTTCAGAGACATCAGAGATGCCTTACCCCGTCATTCTAGTGTTGTTATTATCTGGTAAATAAACTGTTTGGGGGCCTGCTGTCACAGAGCTGTTTGTGCAAATCTTGGAACCAGGAAGTGGGCAAATGATTATATTTTTAATATATACAATGAATTTTTTGATTTCTCTGTTTCACAGTTCACTGCTCTGGATAAAGATAAAACTCTGGTTCGATGAAGAGAAGAAAAAAATATAAAAATTGAGACAAAGCCCCTCTTGTCACAGCATCTACATTTTCAAAAATTACACAAAAGTCTCTAATTGTACCTTTATAGCCAGCATATTTTTTATTATATATTTGAAAATGAAAAATGGCATTTTAAATTAGTTTGGGCTTTATGCCAGGTATATTTAAGCATTGTAGGATAAATGAAGTTAAAATAAGAATGTAATATATAAACAAAAACCACTTAAAATGACTAACAATTATGCCAATTATGCAGATGTGATATGGTATGTAACAAGCTTTAGCATTTAGCCTGAAAATTTAGCTTATAACACACTGAAATACTATATAAAAATCATTTTTCATTAATGTCTTTATAAATCTAAAGTTTTAATTGTTGACAAATACTGAACATTTAAAATGGTCTTATAACTGCTTACAGCTACAGTATAGTGTGTTATATACCAGTGGTCCCCAACCCCCGGGCCACGGACCGGTACCGGTCCGTGGATCACTTGGTACCGGGCCGTACAAGAAATTATTAATTATTTCCGTTTTATTTATTATCTTAGTCTGAACGATCTTTTATTTTGAAAAATGACCGTATTCTCTCGGTTACATCTCGGTCACTTGAGCGCCAAAACTGGCTTACTTGTGGACATATTCAGCCTGCTCAATGAACTCAATCTGTCACTTCAGGGGAAAATGACAACTGTCTTCAAGTTGGCAGATAAAGTAGCTGCATTTAAAGCCAAACTGGATTTGTGGGGACGGCGCGTCAACAGAGGCATAAACAATAATAAAAATGTTTAATCAAATATAAGGCAAAAGCTGATAAATAAGAGGCTGTAGAACGTTTGCATACAAAAGGCTGAGCTGTAAGGGCCACCAGCACATTGAACTTTTAGGAAAATACTTCTGTCTTAATGCAGGTGGTGCATTTTCTAAGAAAGTGTGTAGTTACCAGGATGTTCTGGACCACCTGAACCTGACCACAGATAACAGTGTGTTTAAACTGACTCGGCCCGTTCTGGACCACACACACCCCACCTTGGTAGGGCTGGACATTGTCCTCTATGCCATCCTGGCTATGGTAGGTGCTGCATTACTGTGTTGGTGTAAAAATATCTGCTAAAAGCTGTCCATCAAGTGATCATTTCTGACATGTGTATACGTTTATTTACAGATTGAGAAAACACAAACTTTCATTCCTTTTGTCTGGGCAAAAGTGGTGAGTTGACTGACTCCTTTATGGAGTTTGATTTTGGTTGTTTGAATGCACAATGTCTTCTGGTCTCGGTGGACACTTTGACTCTCTAGGGCTCTAGTTGGTCACCTGTTATTTTTGTCTTTTATTACAAATTTACCTGAAACTTTGTCTTGCTTTCCTGGAAATTCTCCTTTAAATTTCTGCAGCAGTGGAACGATGAACGCATCTCCTGGGACCCCACACAGTTCTGTGGGATCACTGGGGTTTCAGTTCCTAGAGACATGCTCTGGAAACCGGACCTCTTCATCTTTGAGATGTGAGCCTGCAGCACACACAGACACGCAAACTTTAGTTTAGTAGTTTTTGTCAGTTATAAAGGAATGTTAAGACACTCTGGGAAACATATTCACTTTCCTGTTGAGAATTAAATGAGAAGATTGAAACTATCGTGTCGGTCTGTTAAATATGAAGCTACAGCCAAGTGACATTTAGCTGAGCTTAGCCTAAAGACTGGAAACAGGGGAAGCTGTCATGATTCTGTCCCATCGGTTTTCGTTAACATGCTTTTATTTTGACATTACTTCCTGTTTCAGTTTCACCTTAGTTTTGGACTTTTTACTTTAATCACCGGTTATTGTTTACACCTGTTTTCAGCCCATAATAGGCAGCTTTCCCCCACCAGGAAGCTGCCAGATCGTTCTAAACCCATGTTCTGACTTTCCAGTGGTTTTTTTTGTCTTGTGTCTGTTTTTCTAGTTCTGACCCCAGATCGACTTGATTATGTTTTCTGGACTCCTGCATTTTGTTCTGTTATTGTGACCTGCACCTCAAATAGTTTTCTGTTTTACCTCCTCTGGCAATATAATCGAGTTCACCCACAACATTGTCGGTAGCTTCACACGCCGATTTCTGACAGGAGCAGCTAGTCTGACTCTGTTATAACTAAATCCACCTACTAGCAACTGCAGAGCCAACCAATTTACATTTTATATCTTGTTTGTTTAACCCATGGTTTACAAGATAAAACCACAAATTTGTGTTTATATGAACAGGAAACCCTCTCTTGTTTCAGCTCTTGATTAATGTGAAATACTGCATGGTTCAAACACACTATAAAAAGACTGTGTGTGTGTGTGTTTTTTTAGGGTACAAAAAGATGAATCCCCTCTATGTCCCTACATATACATGTCCTTTAATGGGATGGTCACTGATGAACAGGGCATTAGGGTGGTCAGCACCTGTAATATGAACGTCCACAAGTTCCCCTTTGATACGCAGAGATGCAACATCTCCTTCAGTTCTGCAATACATACTGGTGAGGGATGGTGTGTGTGCATCTTATGTGAATGTCACATTTTACCCATCCTTTCACTCAGATTGTCTCTCTCTACTCTCACCTCAGTTGATCAAGTTCGCCTCTTTCCTTCCTCCAACTCGTCTCGGGCCACAGAGTTTTCCCAAGAGATCATGAAGACTCAGGGAGAGTGGGACTTCCTCCAGCTGTCTGTCACCAACAGCAGTCTCACCATCGACAAAGAACAGTGGGACATGATCATATACACTGTACGTAGCACAGGGAGGGACCAAGTAATGTCAATCACCAAATCTCAACGCAATTAAACATCTGTGTGTGTGTGATTTTAGAGCATTCAGAATTCAGACAGATGAGACCGGTCAGTCACAAACAAATTTGTCGGCACAAACTATTGTATTATGTTCTCAAGTTACTTAATTTGTGCTATTTAGTAAGTGAAGTGCAAAAATTAGTAAAAAATGTTGCCAGTTGTATGAATTTTTTAATTTGTGATGCTTTGCTACATTATTCACACTCTCAGGTTATGTACTTCAAGGTTATTAATTTTCTCGAGAACTTATTCTGTGCTCTTGTATTAATAGGTTGGGGATACAAATTTTCAAAGTATAATGTAAATGATGTTGCCAGTTTTACCAGTGACTCAATTTGTGCTCTTGTATTACATAATTAACAGTCTCAAATTGCTGAATTCATACTCTGGAATTACTTAATAGAGTATGACATGCAAATTAACAATATAAGCAACCTTTAAACTTTTTTTTTTTTTTTTTTTTTTTTATTTTTCAATATTTTTCCTTTGTTACATAATTTGTCCTTGTTTTACTCATTTGGACTCATGAATTACTGGCACCTGGATGTAGCCTGACCTTTGAACCTTTTTTCCTAGTTCACCATGAAGAGGAGGCCCCTCCTCTATGTCATCAACTTCTTGTTGCCCATCCTGTTCTTCCTGTGTCTGGATCTTTCCTCCTTCTTCATCTCAGATGAGCGAGGAGAGAAACTGGGCTTCAAGGTCACCGTGATGCTAGCCATATCTGTCCTGCTGCTCATCCTGAATGACATTCTGCCTTCCATGTCCAACAAGACTCCACTCATAGGTACAGATCCCCAGACCTGTCTCCAGCCTACAGAGCCAATCTTTAACAAACCATTAGATACAAAAAAGCATTTGTTGCCTGTTTCCTCCACACAGGGACCTACTGCATTGTCATATTTGCTCTGATGCTGCTCAGTCTGATTGAGACTATCTTGGTTACATATCTAATGGAAGCAGAGTCTGCCTCTCAGGAGAAGCTGAAGTTTAAGGACGACTGTGAAGACAAAGGGGAAAAAGTCAGAACTGATAACTGTAGTGCAGGTGAGACACATCACAGACATGAGCAGGGTTCACAAACGTTTGCTTATGTTACTAAGGAGGTGCCATTGTGCCAATCATCTGCTCCAGCCCCACTCACACAGTCCTAATGAGGCAGACTAGCTGGGTTTTTAACCTTTGTCAACTTATAAGTAGGGCTGTTTTTACTATCTGTGCCTTGATTCTTTCATATTTAGTAACACATTTGTAGTAAAATAGAGAAATACTATTTACATACAATAGGATTTAAAACCATGTTTTTGTACAGTGCCATAATCTCGTGTCAAACCTGCTGTTTGTTTTCAGAGGAGAAAAGAGAGACCGATTGCTCCTGCATCATCTGCAAAGTGTCTAGCAGGCAGGAGCTGCTGCCTGCTGCTGAGGAGGTGAAGCATTCTATATACAAATACAGACCTTACACACTAACATTTGTCTTCAAGTCAAGAATCTTTATTGTCATTATGCATAGCACAACAAATTTTTTTCCAGCTGCTCTCTGCTTAAAAGACACATTATTTACATAACACAAAATTGTATAAGTCAATATAAAACTATGAACAAATAAAAAGGGATGAATGGGACCTAATCAGGTCAGCAGCATGTTAGCAGCAAGAGTGTAGTAACATTATAAGGTGCAGCTCAGTGCAAATCTCAGTCTTTAGGAAGACGTGTGAGCATGGGTGTGTGTCTGCAGAGGTCCAGTGTTCTGTCTGTGTCTGTCCATACGGAGGAGGTTGTGTGTGTGTGTGTGACTAGGGGTTAGGGGGGTGATTGATTTCACAGCTCTGTTGAAGAAGCTGTGTCTCAGGCTGCGTCCGAAACCGCATACTGTGACAGTACGTACTGAAAGAGATGAAGTACCTACTTACTGACCGTTAAAACAGTACTGTATAGTATGAAGCCTGGTAGTATGAATGAGATTCGGACGTACTACATCCGCCATGTTGATACATCACGTGACATACGTTTTCATAGCGGCGTCTTCTTCGTTGGATAACTCCTCTCCCAGGGTGTCAAGAGCCTCATATTTTTTTTCCTCAATTAATGTGACCAAACAGAAGACATCTTGCTTAGACAGACTTCTTTTTGATTTCATTTGGAAAAATAAACCACACAAGGTTAAAAAGGAAATTATAGAAACCAACCAGGTTAGAGTGTGACACATACCTTTTGTAAATCCAAATGATGACCCCAAGCTTAACGTAGCTAACGGACGACCGGTGGCCATCTCAGACTAACGGACGGACGCGTAGCGGTGAAATATCTTCATGAAAATGTAAGAAGTTGTGGTACGGCGACCACGCTGTAAGAGAACCAACCAGGTTAGAGAAGAAAGACAAACCACATACCTTCTGTAGATAAACATGGTCGAAATCCATTCAAATGGCGATGAACGGACGGCGCGGGAGCTAATGACAGGGATGGGATAGACCGGCACCGCAGATAAGACTCCCAGGGCAAAGCTCCTAGGAGTTTTATGTGCCTGGCAGCCTGGTTCTATGCCTACTACACAAATCTACTTACAGATGGCCACTTCGATCGGACGAATAAAACATATTTATGAAAATCTAAATAGTCATGGCAGAGAAGCCATGTTGGAAAAGAGAGTTGGAAAGAAAGTTGGGCATGGAGGGCCGGCAAAAACACCTGAACTAGACCTTCTAGAAGTCACAGTAAACTCAGGACTTGTGGCAAAATGACCACAACAAGACCCCCTTAATGGATAAACTGGCGGGAGTGGGGACGGGAGGCCTGACAAGGGAACCCACAATAAAATAAAAATAAATTGACTTACAGTTCGGTAGTTCTACCTGAAAAGAGAAAGATAAATAAAATTAGTTTGATTCAAATGATTCCAAATCTACAGGCCGCATGTCATAGAGCAGGAAACAAATTCACTGTAACAGAGATACACTTCTTCCTTCAGTGTTAAAACAAACAGAAAGAACTTAAAGTTCTGGACTTACCGAACACTTAAAGCTCTGTTTTCCCGCGCACACGACGCAGATGTGTCTGGTGACAAACCAACGCGAACCAACATCGGAGACTAACGCGAGTGACGCGGCGAACAGCTGTTTCTCCTGACTCAACAAACTAACCTAACTGTTCTCAAAATTTAAACCACTTGTAGCCCCGCCCACTGCGCACGGCCCTTGTTGATGATTGGTCTGCGGGAACTTCCTTTCCCGTGACCGAACTTCCTTTCCCGTTCTACCTGCGCAGGTACACGCTGCAAGTGACACTGGCTGCGTCCAAAACCGCATACTGTGACAGTACGTACTGAAAGAGATGAAGTACCTACTTACTGACCGTTAAAACAGTAGGTACTGTATAGTATGAAGCCTGGTAGTATGAATGAGATTCGGACGTACTACATCCGCCATGTTGATACATCACGTGACATACGTTTTCATAGCAGCGTCTTCTTCGTTGGATAACTCCTCTCCCGGGGCATCATGGGATAGTGAAGTGTCCATCGTATGCACACTGCAAAATCCAGCCGGAAGCAGTAGGTCATCCGGGTACTTTTCGCCTACTGTTTTTGGAATACTACGAATCCGGACATACTACTCGCCTCGCCTACTGCTTTTCGCCTACTATACAGTATGGTAGTAGGCGGTTTCGGACGCAGCCTCAGTCTGTTTGTTTTAGTCTTTATATTCCTGTAGCTTTTCCTGGAGGGAAGAGGCACAAACAGACTGTTGCCTGTGTGGGTGGGGTCTGCAGCAATCCGTCCCGCCCTCCTCTGGATCCAGTCAGTGTATAGTGAGTCCAGATCCAGAAGAGGACTCCCTACAATGCCCTGAGCTGTTCTCACCACCCGGATCAAGTCCTTTCTGTCCTGTGCAGTGCAGCTCCCGTATCTCACTGTCGTACTGAGGCAGAGGATGCTCTCTACTGTCGCTCTGTAGAAGAATTAAATATACTGTATGTTCATGACACCAGATTTCAGCCTCTTGAAAAGTGACAACTTGTCATGTAAAAGCACAAAAAGGAAAAGACAAATTTGTTTACCTAAATTGCAGCACATGATCATCTCAGCAGGAGGATAACCATGGTGTGATTGCATGTGTGTGCAGGTTAACCACAGCATTCAGTGTGAAGAGTCACATGTGTTGCTGCTGATCCTGGAGGAGCTGAAGGAGCTGCAGAAAACCCTGAATCTGCACCTCGGCTGCAGAGAGGAAAGAGGGAAGTTTGCTCAGTGGGCTACAATTATCAACAGAGTATTCTTCATTTTCTATGTCACCACTGTGTCACTGTTTCTCCCTCTCATATACAATGAATGGATCAATTAACAATGTGCAATAATACTTCATTTTCAGTGTTCTAAGCCCTGTGTGTCATATTAAGATTTGGTAATGTATCAGAGTGAGTAGATCACTTCTGTAGGCTAATTAATAAATAATAAGGCTTCACTTTGTTTTTAAAAGGCTTTACTGTAGATCAACCCACAGATTAATCAATAGTTGCACTAATGAAACAGCAAAAAAAAAAAAAAAAAAAAAAAAAGGGAAGGTGCAACCATATCTGGTGGTTTTTGTTGGAGAAGATTAATATACTTTGATGTGGGCATGAGCACTTCCAAAATCAATGACACACACACACACACACACACTGACTGACCTCACACACACATACTCTTTTCACACAGTAATTGTTCACATTGTCTCTTCATTCAGACAAATGGATCATTCTCTTCCGTCCTGTTCTGTCTTCTTTCACCTCACAGCTCATCCGCCCCTCAGACTTTACACCAATCACATCCATCCTCACCGTCCTGATATCCTCTGTGTTATACGTAATATTGCTGTCAAAGAGGCCAGTCGTTTGCTTTCGACTGGTGCTATTGCAGTTGGACTGTGCATGAGTCCCCTACTTTATTCGGAATGAAATATCTTAACTGCTAAATAGACTGTCACATATTCATGTTCCTTGACTTTTCATCTAGCTCTTTATCAGGTCAAATGTTCAGTTTATCTAAAATTTTGGTTTATAACTTAAGCTATACTTTGTGTTTAGCTAATTAACTAATGTTAGCCTGCTAATGCACTAAACTAAGATGGTAATCAGGATAAACATTATACCTCTTAAACAATACGTTCTGTCATTGTGAATGTTTTAGCATGCTGACCCAACATGGAGTGTCTTTGTAAGGTGCTGGGCCACCACGTGCCACCAGAACAGCTTCAGTGCACCTTGGCATTGACTCTCATGGACCAGTGAACAAAATTTTCCCAACTAACCGTCAACATTTTGTATTTTGTTAAGCATGAACCTTTCTTCTTACAATGAAATGCAAGTAATATTTTAAAATGGTCTGACAAATCACTACCTACAGTAAAAACATCCTAAAAACTAAATAATTCTTTGTGTGCCATCATCATACAGTGCATGCTTTCCTGCATGTGTTGACCGTTTGAACTGTTAAAACAATTAAACATTTCCAGCAAATTAATCAGCAGTCCATCACTTTTATTTTGTCAAACCTAAATTTGATTTCAGCTGCTTCCTCCAACGGTGTCTTTGTGTTGCCACAAGAGGGGGTGATCTGCATTTTGCATTTTCCCGGAAAAAACCCACGCAGGCACAGGGCGAACATGCAAACTCCATACAGAAAGGCAACGGGTTGGCTGGGGCTCAAACCCAGGAGATTTTTTGCTGTGAGGTGACTGCGCAAACCACTGCTGCACCATGCCACCCTTGTCTTTCTAAATAACATGTGGTCACATGATTAGTGTGGACAGGTGAGAGATCACAATTAATTTGGGCAGGTACCTTGATTAATTGCAAACAATTTAGGGGAAAGTGGGCTGAGTTGTGCCAGTTTTTACTCAAAGTGACTTTAAAGTGAGGCCATGACAGTAATGCCTTCAACTTAAGAATGTACATATATTTCAGGGTGTTGTGCATCCCTGAGAACAATAACTTTGGGTCTGATATAAATTGTTTCAGAGATATAGCTTTTGGAAAAAAAGTGGTCTCGTGGCACAACTTGCCCCTGCTTTAGGCCTTGCCCCCATTTAGGCCTGGATATTGCATAGCTTGTAATGTATCTGTTCTCTTTGTGAGAGCCTTCTTAATCTTCAGTTTGTTGTTTGTTCTATACCACATATTTTAGCATATTGCTACTGCCGTGGTAAAGCCATTGGATATTGGAGGTTACCAGTTCTTATTGCATTTTTATGTTCCACCAATCTCACTTTTAATTTGCACTTTGTCCTCCCAATATAGAAACAACTACAAGGACACTCAAGTCTGTAAACCATAAAAGAGGTATTACAGTATATAAATGATCTGATGTTATATTTATGATGTGATGTTGTCAGTAAAGTTGTAAAGTATTAATCATATTGTCACAGTGATTATAATTTCCACATTAGTGGTTACCTGCTGGAATACCTAATCACGTTTCTGATTCTGAACCATGTTTGGTCTTAACCAAACTTGCTATTCAGATGGCACAAAGATAGCCATTTCCTTATGTCCTGATGAAGACCTTTGTATTGCCATAAGTTATTAAAGGGTTTTTGTATTTGTGCTCTTCTTGAATGCCCCAGAATTTTCTTCACAAAATCCTTTACAGTCATTTTTGTCTCCACCAGGAGCTGTACCCACATTGGGATGCAGTGGGTGTGACTATTTCTATTTGGTCTGAGTGGCTGTAGACTAACAGAAAGGTGTGGACATTCAGCATTCATCCTCTCTCAAAATTATCACAACAGATGAGTTGACATTTTCAGACATTTATGAGAAAGCCGGGACACACTAACTATACAGACCTCTCTCTGACTTTGGATTCACACAGGTATAGTCATGATGCTGGCAGGTTTCTGCTTTCTCCTCTTCCTCACAGGTAAGTGTGAATGTTGCAGGAAAATCCTGAGAAGGCTAATTTAATTTCTTGAGCATTTATGTCTACTTAATTTAATTTAACTTTACTGACTTTTGAACTTCAATTGTAAGAGTTGCTCCCTTATGTTTTGTGTTGAGTGTGTCTGTTTTTGTGGTTATAGTGAATGAATGAACCAATTTCCATATTTTCAAATGTTACCTTCAAAAAGATGTCTTATTAGAGTAACAGCAGAAGAGAGGCATCAGACTGACAAACCTAGCTATAATAATTAACAAAAGGTGATGGCCTTGATTTGAACAACATGCATTTGGATGCTGTATAGTAGATGGATCTCAGATGGTGCTCCACCTAGATCACATTTCTGCCAACACCCATCTCTTAATGGCTTTTCAGTGACCACAGCTGCTGGAGAAATTTGTGAGCTGGTGTTTTTCATGATTTGTGAGATGCTATCAACACAAAGACACTAATGTTGTGTCATTACTCCTAAATGTCAAATAATTAAGACCAGATACACTAACTCTGATGTCCAGACATACATCAGCGATCTGAAGTTCTATTTTAAAAGAAAAGTTCACTGATTTCTTCCGTTTCAAGAGAATGTACTCTCATAGTGGATGTGTCCTGATATTTGTGCTGTAGGTGGGGTGGGCTGTCAGGATAACTGCAGTTATCAGGCTATTTTAAACCACCTGAACCTGACCAAAAACAGGGAGCTATACTCCATGACACAACTTGTTAGAAACCACACGCACCCCACAAAGGTATTCCTGGAAGTAAAGCTGTATGCCATTCTAGATGTGGTAAGTGCTTAACATTTTTGTTTGTTTTGCCATATGATTTTTATTTTCAATTGGTTGCGCTGTTTT